CTGTTTGGGCGGAGTTGCCCTGCCCCCTGTTGGGGGGGGGGATGGGCTCAGTGAAAACCGGTTTTGGGGGGCTTTTGTTCTCTGGTGGCTTTCCCTGGTGGCTTTCCGTGTCTCTTCAGGAGTCAGAGTAGAAGAGATCATTTCCAACCCTCTGCCTCAGAGCAGAGAGATTGCAGTCTGTTCTTCAATGAGCTCTCCAGGCCACACTATCTCTGTTTCTGTCTGTGCTGCTATAAACTGCAGCATCCTAGGTTGTGCACCCCTCAGCAGGGCTCCCAGTCCTCACCTCCAGGTCAGGGCATGGGGGCACGTCTCTGCCCTTTGTGCTTCTAACACCACAGCCGCCCCCAGTTCACACGCACAGCCCCACCGCTCCAGGTTTCAGTCTGGGGGGCTGCCCTAAAGTCCTTTCCCCGCCACAACCGGTCTGTGAGTCTGTGCCCCATCCCCAGCATGGGAGGCTATCGCTCACTGGCAGTGCAGGATTCCCACGGCTCCCTCCCCCTTCCGTTTATCTTCTGATATCTGCCGCAGAATCAGGGCTCCCCGCTTCATACCTTGAAACCAACCGTGTGCAATATCCTGTTTGTAGAGATCCAGATCTATCTTCTTACATCTCAGGCTGATTTCGTGGGTGTTCAGAGTGGTCTGGTAGATATCCAGCTCAATTCAGGGGACCAGTTGGAATAGGGTCCCCTAGTCCTCTGCCATCTTTTCCTCCTCAATTCTACAATTAGTATTTCTGTACGATTGTTTATAAAGTAAGATTTTATTAGAATTCTATCACTTAAATGACACAGATAAGGCTTTTTCTATACAATTATTGCATACATCTGTGGATGAATGTTACTTTTTGCATAAATTCTATTCCACTGTTTTATTTATCTGAACACTGAGAAACTTTATTTGCGTATATGTGTGGGTGAGTGTTACAACAATAAGATTTTTACACCAGTCACTCAATGATTTGAACTTCCAAATTACGTGCCAAAATCAGCTGTGAACTCTCATCTGAAGTTATTTTTTATAATATTTCAACAAACTAGATGTTGTCTTCCAATTATGCTGAAAGTAAAAATTTTAGAAACTGCTTGACTTTCAAAAGTATTTGTTACTCATTCAGGTTATTTGCTTTCTCATTTTTAAGAGGTACACCTGTTAGAAACTTTACCAAGATTTACAGAGTAATTATAAAATACATCTGCAAATTTTTTCCACTAAGAAGTACTTTATATAATATGGTATATTATGAGAGGATTGGAAGCATTGAAATATCACTTACAATATACTGTTACCAATATAATTTTTTGAAAAATGCTTTTATTCTATTCTGTAGTCATTTCATGGAAAACACCCATCATTTAACCTATTTGAAAGAGTTAGTCCTTATTGTGAAACCAATAGTGTTTCTTTTTTTAATTTTTCAATTCAAATAAACATGTTACTATATATTTCAAGGAGTATTATAAATACACTGAAAAATAAATTCCAGAATGCTAATTCAAAAGCTATTTTACTAGAAGCAGCCCTTTTGATTTAAAGTGTTGTATGTTTAATGTAATGAATCTGCACTTTAAGTTAGAAAAAAAATTTTTAAATCTACATGTTACTTCTAACTAATTTAAAATAATGCAATATAATCTGTGTCAATGATCATGAAGTTACTTAGGTAAGAAGAATATGATAAAAAGAAAGGTTTTCCTTTGGTAAATGTGCATGCTCATGCATGTTAAACTCCAGTAATTGGAATTAGAGTGTAATTAAATAAAAATAATGCATATAATAGAACTAACTTTATTGATGTAATAGAAATATACTGCTGAAAATCATTCTAGTAGCTAGTTTAAATTGTATTTTTTGTTAATAAGAGGTAGGGAATACTAAATATTTTATAAGATGATGTAAGATGATCGACTTCAATTAGAATAAGTATTTTATAATGTGGCATAATTTAATAGATATTGAATAATGGAATTGAATAATGCTCAATACACCTAGGAAATATTATGTAAGATATTGATCTGTGGGTTTAAGCCAGTACCACTAAAAAATATTTGGTATTCCCAAACAACATGTAGTTATATTTAAATTAATGTGTCACTAAACTGTACTGTTTTGCTGTTCGAAGTCATTTTCTTTCCATTTAAATAAAAATCCTAAGTATGATTATTGAGACTATACCTTGCTTTTCTCTCTCCAGACTATCTCTTGAGAGCATTACATTCTTTCACAGAATGAGCAGAAAATTCCTATTTCCGTAGCTCACTTTACACAATATATTCAATTTCTGAACAACCCAGCATTTCTAACACCACAGTTATTGCTTAAGAGAAAGAAAAAGGCAAAAACAAAACAAAACAAAACAAAAACCAGAGAGCCTTAACGAGGCTTTATGGTGGCTTGTTTCATTGTTTCTTTCTTTGAAACTGTGGAAAGTTTGAAATCTCAGGGTAATGCTCTGTAGTAAGGTGCTGGAGGAGGGAGCCGTCTTTTTTTTTTTTTTTTTTGATGTAGTGTTCCATGATTCATTGTTTACATATAACACCCAGTGCTCCATTCAGTACATGCCCTCTTTAATACCAATCACCAGGCTAACCCATCCCCCTACCCCCTTCCCCTCTAGAACCCTCGGTTTGTTTCTCAGAGTCCATAGTCTCTCATGGTTTGTCTTGCCCTCCGATTTCCCCCCTTCATTTTACCCTTCCTACTATCTTCTTTTTTTTTTTTTACGTATAATGTATTATTTGTTCAGGAGCCGTCTTTTTTAGAGTAAGAAAGAGACTGTGGAAAGAGAGGCAAGTAAAGGAACCTACATGATGCTATGAAGAGTATTCATGGGTTTGAAGATGTGAAAATTTAGCCCTTTCCTTTTTTATTTGTTAGGTGGCTACCTAAGATAAATAATAATAATAACAACATCTTTTTTTTTGCAGCTGTCGTGAGTGCCATCCCTGTGCCAACCCTGGAAAGTGCCCAGTACCCAGGAATCCTTCCATCTCCCACGTGTGGATACCCCCACCCACAGTTTACCCTCCGGCCCGTGCCATTCCCCACACTGTCAGTGGACCGAGGTTTCGGAGCAGGAAAAAGTCAGTGTAATGCATTTTCCTTTCTTTTTACTAAGAACAAATGAATAATAACCAAGCATGTCTTGTTAAATGTATCGCATTTTAATATTCTCATCCCTTGGGAAAATTGGTTTACCTCTGCCCTGGGTCAGAATCAAAGGACCAATTCTCTGGGAGTCTTTCCATAGACAATGTGGGAAGCTGTGGGGAAACAAAGATTAACTGGTTCAGTAAAACAATGATGTGATGGGTGCTTGAACTTAATATGTTGTCAACTAGGAAATGAATAATCAAGTGACTGTCCTCCAACATATTCTTGTGTAAGTGTCTGTTGGTTCTATTTAAAAGTGTATCATTGATTCCTGATAAACCGATATTTAAATGAATGCCTTAGCTTTCTTTAATTAAATCAATTAAGCAATATCTTTTGACTTTTAATTAATAATTGTTGGAGAAAAAGATTTCCAAAGGAGTAATTCATTTGTTTTTGTATTATTATTACTTTTCTGATTTTAATGAAATATAGGTGACATAGAACATTGTGTAAATTTAAGGTTTACAATGTGTTGATTTATACACTTATGAATGACAAAATGATTACTACCATAAAATTGGTTAATGCCCCTCTCATGTCACATAATTGCCATTTCTTTTCTGTGGTGAGAATGTTTTAAATCTACTTTCTTAACAACTTTCGAGTATATAATACAGTATTATTAGCTATAATCACTATGCTGTACATTAGATGCCCAGAACTTAATCATCTTATAACTAGAAGTGTGTACTCTTTGACCAACATCTCTCTTTTTTCCCTATCCCCCAGATCCTGGTAACCGCAATTCTAGTCTCTATTTTTATGAGTTCATCTTTTTTAGGTTCTATATATAAGGGATATCATATAGTATCTTCTTTCTGTTCCTGACTTATTTCACTTAGCATAATGCTCTCAAGGTCCATCCATTTGTTGCACTTTCTTTCTCATAGCTGAATAATATTCCATTTTGTATATATACCACATCTTCTTTATCCATACATCCATTGATGGATTCTTAGGTTGTTTCCATATCTTGGCTATTGTGAATAATGCTACAATGAGCATGGGAGTGTGTATATGTCTTTAAGATCTCATTTTCATTTCCTTTGGATATATACCCAGAAGTGAGACTGCTGGATTATATAGTAGTTCTATTTTTAATTTTTTTTAGGAACCTTCATACTCTTTTCCACAGTAGCTGCACCAATTTACATTTTCAGCAACAGTGCACTCTTTTGTCCACGTCCTTGCCAGCATTTCTCTTGTCTTTTTGATGATAGCCATTCTAACAGGTATGAAGTGATACCCCATTGTGATTTTGATTTGCATTTCCCTGATAATTTGGTAAGGTCAAATACCTTTTCCACATATTTGCTGACCATTTATATGTCTTGTTTGGAAAAATGTTTATTCAGTTCTGCACATTTTTAATCCAACTTTTTTTGCTATTGTATTGTGTGATTGTGTTACATATTTTGGATATCAACTGCTTATCAGATATGTGGTTGGCAAATATTTCCTCCCATTCTGTAAACTGCTTTTCATTTTGTTGATGGTTTTCTTTTAGCTATACAGAAGTTTTTAATTTGATGTAATCCCATGTGTTTATTTTTGCTTTTGTTGCCTTTGCTTTTTGGTGTCAAATCTAAAAAGTCATTGCCAAAACCAGTGTCAAAGAGATTACCCCCTATGTTTTCTTCTAGGAGTTTGACAGTTTCAGGTCTTAAGTTCAAGTCTTTAATCCATTTGAGTTCATTTTTGTGTACAGCATAAGAAATCCAGTTTCATTCTTTTTCAAGAGGCAATTCAATCTTCTCAATGCCATTTATTAAAGAGACTGCCCCTCACCCCCCAGTATATTCTTGGCTCTTTGGCATAAATTAATTGACCATGTATACAGGGGTTTATTTCCAGGCTCTCCATTCTGTTCCATTGGTCGGTGTGTCTGTTTTTATGTCTATACCATACTGTTTGACTATTATAGCTTTGCGGTATAGTTTGAAATCAGGAAGTGTGAAGCCTCCAGCTTGCTCTTCTTTCTCAATATTGGTTTGGCTATTTGGGGTCTTTCTGGTTCCATACAAATTTTGAGATGGTTTGTTCTATTTCTGTGAAAAATGCCATTGGATTTTTGATAGAGATTGCATTGACTCTGCAGATCACTTTGGGTAGTATGGAAATTTTAACAATATTAATTCTTTCAAACCATGAGCATGGAATATCTTTCCTTTTATTTATGTCTTCAATTTCTTTCATCAACATCTTATAGTTTTCAATGTAAAGATCTTTTTCCTCCTTGTTAAATTTATTCCTAAGTGTTTTATTCTTTTTGACACAATTGTAAAAGGGATTGTTTTTCTTAATTTCTCTTTCTGATAGCTCATTAGTAGCATATATAAATGTAACTGATTTTTGTGTATCGATTTTATATCCTGAAAGTAGTATTTCATTTGTTTTAAGGGAAGTAAGTATGGAGAGAGACTCTCAATCTATTATATACACTCTGGTGGTTTCTCCTATGCCATTTGACTTTTTTTTCTTCTTCAAGCACAGCATTTTAAAATCAATTTTATGGCTTTCTTCTCTTAGTTAGGAACAGGTGACTCAGCAGCTCATGTGAGATAGGATGTTTTGTAATAGATAAGATGGTAACAGCAATAAAATATATTTGTGAGGTAAGCTATATTTTTTCCAACCCAACAGGGCCAGCTCTAAGAAATCATAAATCATCTAGATGTAGCAAGGTTAGAATTAAAAGGCATCAAAAATCTGACAAGAGAGAATGAGATTTATTTTCCCTTTTCTCACTGCACATCATGTCTACAGAATAGAGCTGTGTGCAGAAACTCAAGAAAAAATAGTTCCCCAAACCATATTGAACAGCATTAAATGAGAAAGATATGGGAAGTCCAAAAACCAAAATTTCCAAATCCTAGGACAACTAGGAAGGTGATTCCAGTCAAAGAATTCAGAACCCACAAGTCCCTTCTTCAGCTTCTGAAACAAACTCTCCCCAGCAGAAAAGAAAGGATTATAGTTTTTGCTTAGTTTTTCCCTCATCACATCACTGTCTACTGTTTTCTTTTTATTTCATCTATATTCTCTGACTTTAGAGGTGTGAGAAGGATGTGTAGCATGACCTTTATCTCTTCACTACACAAGACCAAGTCAAGCCAAAGTTCAGTACACTTTATTAAGGAAATTAACTATTTTATTTTATTATTTTTTAAAGATTTTATTTATTTATTTGACAGAGAGAGACATAGCGAGAGAGGGAACACAAGCAGAGGGACTGGTAGAGGGAGAAGCAGGCTTCCTACAGAGCAGGGCGCCCCATGTGGGGCTCGATCCCAGGACCCTGGGATCATGACCCAAGCCGAAGGCAGATGCCTAATGACTGAGCCACCCAGGCGCCCCTTAACTATTTTATTTTACTCATGGTGTATTCCTGTCATTTCTTTTTCTCCTGTAAAGATATAGTCTCCTTCTGAGAACTCAGCATCCCATTTACTCTTTTCTTTTTCTCTTGATTTGGTGCAATGTGCAAAACTGTCTCATTGAATCATAGGCATAGTCATTCCAGAAGTTAAATTTCAATGAAAAAGAAAATAATAAATGAGCTAGCATAATTTTTTTTTTCCTTTCCCCCTTGGCCAAAATCAGTTACATGGAGAAGCTCAGTACCAATGGGATAGGGAAGTATATACGCCACCCAACATGAACTAAGGAATTCACAGGGGAAGGGTGAGTTGTGAACAAATAATACAGTTTATCACAGATTACCATTCACCATCAGGACTTTGTGTGAGTCACCGTGTCTCATCTCAGACTCTATGCAGATTCTTCTACCGTGGATGTATTTGTTTCTTAGGCTGCCATAGTAATGTACCATAAACTAGGTAGTTTAAAATGACAGAAATTTATTCTCTCATAGTTCTGGAGGCTAGAACTCCAAAATCAAGGTGTTGTCAGGGTTGTGTTCTCCCCAGAGTCTCTAGGGGTGGATCCATCTTTGCCTCTTCCAGCTTCTGGTAGTCCCAGGCATCCCTTGGCTTTGTCAGCTAACTCCAGTATCTGCCTCCTTCAGATGGCCATCCTCCCTCTGCCTGAAGAGGTCTTAGAGACGCAGAATTCTAAGGACATATTTGGAGGCCACAAACTTTTATGAAGAGAATTGCGTCTCCCAGAAAGATATGTTGAGGTTCTAACCTCCAATACCTGTGAATGCGACCTTATTTAGAAATAGGATCTTTTCATATGTTACCAAGTTAAGGTGAGTTCATGCTGAGTTAAGGTGTGTCCTAATCCAATATGCCTTGTGTCCTTAAAGAGAAGAGACTCAGACACACAGGAGAAGTTGACCGTTTGACAACAGAGGCAGAGATTGGAGTGATGCATGCACAAGCCAAAGAAAAATAAATGAACTAGGTTAAAATGTGTTTTTATTTGTGGTTAAACACTACAGATTTGTTTATAGCTGTGGTTAGTCTCACGTGCCACTCTGGTGCAGGACTTTGATAGTAGAGCAGGCTGCGTATATGTGGGGACAGAGAGGATACTGGAAAGCTCTGTACCTTTCACTCAGTTTCGCAGTGAACCTAAAAATGAATGAATGAATGAATGAATGAGTAAAAAAATAAATGAATAAAAGAAAAATTTAGTCTCTTTAGGAATTTTTAAAATTTTGTTAACTTATTTAAAAGTAAGGATTATTAAATAAGGGTAGTTATACATCTATAATATATAATGTAAACATAAAATATATAATACAACTATTATATAAAGTTATATAAGTAAAGGATTCCTAAAGAGTGCTTAACTTAATTTTTGAACTTGATCTAAAAATCAAAAAGCATGGACATATGACTCCTGGCCAAAATTTCACAGATTTTTTAAAATATATATTCAGTCATACATCAGGTAATTTTTGAGCAAAAGGAATGTGCAGTGCAAAAGAAATAGGCACAAATATATGTTTCCACGTGATGGCTTAGAAAAGGAAAAGAAATAAGCACCTCTTTTCTAGGAAACCAAATATTCTCTAAATCACTATCAGAACCAGTTAACTTCCAGCCATTCAATACTGGTTTCTAAATGCCTTGGAGACCACTAAACATCCCTGTTCTTTCTCAAGCAGAAAACATTTCATGACTCTGGCTGGAGATGTCTTATTAGTCACCTTGAGAAACAACCAAAGTCACACATAGGAAAAGAAAAATTTGTGCCAAATGTGGAGACTCTCCTTCCTCCGAAGTTATCTGAAAGACCTTTGAGTTGCACAAGAAATGGATCACTAAAACTCTGTTCCCAAAGAGCTGCTCCTTTCTGAAAGTCACAAATAAAGCTGAATTTCTCTCCTACCGTGAGAAAAAGAAAGTTGTAGGATATTGTACATTTGCATTACACACATTTGGTGATCCACTAATAAAGATTTATATAGTTCTGATGGACAATTACCTCCTCTTCCTACTAATAAACTGTAGTTCTGGTCTTAGCCTCAATAGGCAAACTCCCTGGGGAACAAGAAACAGTGCCATATTTTGAAAACTTCAACCAATAGATAGCCTTGAGGCCCGATTTCTACAAGTCACTATAAGCATTTTCTCATCCTCGAAACAGGTAGATACCAGAGGTTAGATGATTTTTACCATTCCTTTCAGTTTGGGTGTTGTCTTAGTGAGAAGGCTGGTCAACCTCACCCATGTTATTTTTCTGTCCTAACTCTCCCCCAAATTGGAAATCAAATAATAGATGGGACTTGACCTAGATAGAATCATGGGCACAGTGGAGTTAATGAATTTCTCTCTAGGGTCTATGCAAAAATCCACACTGTCAGGAACTGGGGTTACTCAGGAGTATTGCACAGTTGTTTGTTCTGAGATTAATGAGTGAATTAGGTTCCTTAAGTGTTCCTGTCTCAAAGTCTTTGCGTAGAGTTGCCGGCATACTATATTTCTTTCAAATACTACAATTTGAGATAGAAGAAAAATCCTCATTTCCATTTTTGCAATATTTTTGCCAGTTATTCTGTAGCAATTATTTATGTGTTAACATTAATTATCATAAAGTGCCTTGAAATTTGACTCTGCTGTGTAATCGTACGCTATTTGTACAATGGCTTCCCACTATTTCATCATTTGAAAATGAGTGCCTTGCCAACACTTATTTGATTCTCCCTTTCCTTTCGGAATTGCAGGAAGGCTGTGCTTGGTGGGCAAAGGGAGGTTTTCTTTGCTTTCCAAGCTCTGAAATACCATGTCACTGAGCCAGTTTGTTTCACACAGGTGTCCTGATGCTGACGACTAAACTGGCCAAAGGGCTCTTCTGATGTGAGGGCTTTGCTCCCGGGGAGCCCTGGCTATTGTATTTAAGAGCTTTGACTGCCTCAAATATCAGCCAGTTCTGAAAAGCATTTCTTTTGCTCCCCATAAAATATAAGAATTATGAAGTGACTATGGAAAATCGGTACCTTGTCCATTGTATTAGATATTAATTAAGCAAACTTGTCATTTTTGAACAAAATAGAACTAGTCCCTTATGGATTAGTGATGTATTTGGTCTCTCATTCCCACCTAGCACATTAGATTAGGCACTTTCCTTTCCACTATGTGTGGTACTAAGGATTGATTTTGCCAAAGAGCTTGTCCATATGTGTGGAGCTACCATTATTTCCCTCAAATGTGTTCCCAGTGGGAATCATGGTGACCAGTTGAAGACCTGGGAATGAAGGACTAGTCATGTGAGCAATGCCATTAAAGAGAATAGGAATGGGAGTGACCCCCAAACATTCCATGATGTCATCAAAATTCCTGTGAAACCTGAGGTTTTTGAGAAACTAAATTTTGGAAAACTAAAAAAGTGCATGTCAACTTTATTAAGCCTAATGTCACAATAATATTTTAACATAGATCTTTTTCATTTCAAAAATGTAGAAGAAATAGAAAAGGAAAATATGAAGGAATAAAGAAGCACATCACACAATATATTATTTCTTTAGTGGCTAAAGCAGTTTTTAAAATATGATATGGATTTATTACAGTCCATCTTCAATAGAATTACTGAGGGCAGATTTCTGTAGAAAATTGTGAAATTTCTTTCCCTGGAAAGATATTTCTAATATGGTGGTATGGACCTGTAATAAAAACTGGCCCATTGGTAATGAAGAGGGACCCAGACATAGGTTCCTACAGCCTCTTCTCTCCGATCTAGAGCTAAGACATACTGTGTTGTTATTTGGATATTGACCATTGGTCATTTTCTCCTTTAGATTAAATATGAGTCCAGAGTAAACTGGAGTAATTTTCTTTGTTTATATATTTGTTTGTAATCTCTACACACAACGTGGGACTCAGACTCAATGACCCTGAGATCAAGAGTCACATGCTCTTCCGACTGAGCCAGCCAGATGCCCCTAAAAATATAAAGGAAAGAGAAACAGGTGTTCTTGTATTCAATCAAGACTGCATAATTTGAATACAAGAACACCTGTTTCTCTCTCCTTTATATTCTTCTTCTTTTATTTTTTTAAGATTTTACTTTTGAGTAATCTCTATGCCAAAGTGGAGCTTGAACTCACAACCCTGAGATCCAGAGTCACATGCTCTACTGACTGAGCCAGCCAGGCACCACTCTCACAAGCAATTTAGCTCCTTATAAACACCTACCTGAAGCCTCTATCCCTTCTGCCCTTATCTGAGAACCCACGTCACCAAGGATTTGCCTTAACGTTTTCCTTGCAGCCCCACCTTTTAACCTTGATATTTTGCATGCATGTGCCCGTCCCCTCCGTGATAGGACTTCCTAGCTTAGAGACAAGGCACTTCTGAAAACTCCTCTTGCCAGAGTTCTATCCAGTTTGCTGTCTTGATTACATTTTCTTTGTTTGAAGAAATCTTTTATCAAGTCTTTGCTTTTTTACTAGCTCTGGTGGCTGGGTGGCTATATCCTGTCCTTGGCCAACGCTATGTTTCCCCTGCCTCTATCTTTGAGTGGGGTAAGCCAGAGTCTTCTTAATGACCCAGAGGATCTCTAACCCTTTCTGAATATAGAAAAATGAGACTTAATACCAAATACCCTCCGAAGGCACATTTCACTTCTGCATATCTTTAATATAATGTCTTGATCTTTGGTATCTTTAATTTCTACTCCCTTGAGCATTATCACATTTTCTTTCTAGCTCCTCTGCCCTTTGCTGACCTCACTGAGCCTCCCAGAGAGTTGTCTCAAAATTATCTCCCAAACTAATTATCTCAAAATATTTCCTGGTTAAAAATTCTCTTTCAGAAGTGAGATATAGTATCTTCTTTCGCTGCATTTTTTCCACTTACCCAATAGAACTTTCTTTCAAAAATAAATCCTCAGAAATATCTTATTTCATCAACACTTATACTGCCAATGCAGCTCTTTGCATTTACAGTTTCACCTGGACCTGTTGATTTTGAATACGAATGATAAAGTCAAGTCACAGTGTCCTTATCATAAGAAGCTGCCTTGCCAATATTTTAGTCCCACTCAACTGTGTTCTCTGGAGAAGAGGTATGTTTCTGTATACGGAGCTGTCCAAATGCCCAAAGGCGATCACAAACGACTACAGGAAACCTCTTCAACTATAGTAATCTGACTGAAAATTACAAGGTTTGCTACCAAAGAGGAAAAATTACAATTCTGCATTCAGGCAACTTGTTCCAGCAAAGTCATCTCTCATATAACTTTTGAGCTGGATGTGCTTCTTTTTTGTTATGGAAGACAATGATAGTGGCTATTACCTGTATCATTTTATTAGCAATGCCTTGAACACCTGGTAACTCTGATTTGTTTGACAGTTGACATGGCATGTTTAAATCGCAGAAAAAAATTGGCATATTGGCTAGTAGATAATAATGCAGCTGTAGCTGAGTTTGGGATATTGAATTTCACTGGCATTGCTACTTATGAAAGGAGAAATAAATAACTCTTTTTTCTTGCTTCATCACTTATGATTACAGGGCCCTGCCAGTTCAGGCAATAGAGTCAATGCTGCTGTGTATACTTTACTGTTCTTCCTGCGAGATAGATCCCTGTCTTGCTGGATCTATTTCCACTGTTATTTAAAGGGGACATGCTATTATATCCCAGAAACATATGAATGAAGAGAAAGGAGAATGTTCATAACTTGAAGAAGAGATTGGCCAGATCCTGACTTATTTCTCTAAATGGATCCAGCGGCCCTGCAGCTGACTTAGGGAAAGCAAGCCTTGTCCTGGAATAATGAATGGCTTTTCTTGTCTCCATTGCAGCAGTGAGTGAAGGACCAGCCACCCAACAGCCACCGATGTTGCCCCCAGCACAGCCTGAGCATCCCAGCAATGAGGAGGCACCAAGCAGAACCATCCCCACAGCCTGTGTTCGACCAACACACCCACTCCGCAGCTTTGCTAATCCTTTGCTACCTCCACCAATGAGTGCAATAGAACCGAAAGTCCCTTACACGCCACTCTTGTCTCAGCCAGGTAAATGCCCGTTTGTTCATGTTCAAAATAGTTATCCTCCGTGCCTCTCCTTGAGTGCATGAGGGTTCCTGCGAAGGCAGGTTGCAATATGTCTGTCACCACTGTAGGCCTACCCAGTGTGCTCCTGTCTGGTACTGATGGTGATAGTGCAGCTTGTAAGGATTTGCCTTGGCAAGGACTGGCTGGTTATAGGTGCCTTTTATTCCTTTGTAAATTCGTTCATCAATACTGAACACTGCTGGAAACATTCCTGGTTCTTTAGTCAGCCACATGGATCCTAGAATTTAAGGCTAGACACCAAGACTAGAGGTAAAGATACAAAAGTCTGAAAAAACCACTTTTTAGAGATATGCGTGGTAATTCCATAATTCTGCTTTGTGCCTTTCAATAGTCATCTTCCAGAGGTTCTTATTTCCAAGTTCCAAGGCCAGAAAGGGAAAGAGTCCAACTTCTTAATTTTAGAAATGACAAAACAAACACTTAGACAAGGAGTAACATCTCTCTGGTAACTGTGATAGTGTGATTTATGAGAAATACGTATTTGGTCATTCAGATGATCAAAATATAGTTTCATTTATATTAGGTCTTCCTCCACAGTTTCTGGGTACTCTGGAGCTCACAGCTGCCAAATCCTTAGAATTTCCTTAGTGATAAGGGGATAAAGGTATCTTTAGTTATGTTAATGAACGTGACCTTTGGTGTTTTTTGTTTGTTTGTTTCCTTATGAACATGACTTTTGGACAACCCCCTCAAGGGTGGGGCTGGTTGCCAGGAAGACCAACTACATGATTAGAGAGTTGGAACTTTCAGTCCCACCCCCAACCTTCTGGGAGAGGAGAGGGGCTGGAGCTAGAATCTACTGATGACCAATGACTTAGTCAAGCATGACTGTGCAATGAAGCCTCTATAAAAATCTAAGAGGACAGGGTTTGGAGAGCAAACAGGTTGGTTTACATGTGGAGATTTGGGGAGAATGATGTGACTAGAGAGGGGATGGAAACTCCATGCCCTTTCTCCAGACCTCACTCTATGTATCCCTTCATCTGGCTGCTGATTCATATCCTTTATCATAGCCTTTAATAAACAGACAGACACGTTTCCCTGAGTTCTGTGAGCCACTCTAGCAAATGAATCAAACCTAGAGAGGAGGTCGTTGGAACCACCAGTCTGTAGCCAGTAGGTCAAAAACACAGGTAGCAGCCTGGAGCTTGTGACTAGCATCTGAAGTCGGGGGTAGGAGACAGTTTTGTATGGCTGAATCCTTAACCTGTGGAATCTGATACTATTTCTAGGTAGATCATATCAGAATTGAGTTGAATTCTGCTGGTGTCTGAGAATTGGTTGGTGTTGGTGGGACAATCGCCCCCCCCTCCCAACGCTGGAGTTAGGAACACTAACCTTGAAGAACGCCTTTCTAAGAAGATCAGTTGGCAGAGATGAGAACCAGACTCCCCTATTCCCAATGCAGTGTTCATTTTATTGCCTCTGTTGGTATCCAGTGATGCTAATCTGGAGTTCCTCTTCATTTCTGTTAGGGATTAGGGGGGAGGAGGGAGGACAGAGAAGGAGAGAAGAAGAAGAAGGAAAAGAAGAAGGAGGAAGAGCAACAGATGGGATAAAAAGCCAAAAGATAGATATGTAGATACATAAAGAACTATGTAGTGCTTAAAATTATTTGAACGATTTGAGTAATTCTTAACAGCCTCAATATATCAAGCATAAGATAGCAAAGTTCAGTGGTCCCAAGTACAAAGAGCACCGGTGATAGACACAGCTGGATTGGCCAGTCTGTCATTTGGCAAATATGTGTAAGTTTCTGTTACTCAGATCCATACCCACAGTGCTATAGTCACTGCATTAGTTCATAAGCCTCATGATGACTGCAAACACTAAAAAAGATACAATTGCAATTATGAATATTATCTTAATATTAAGAATGTTTCTTGTTCCTGGTACCATATTAAGTGATTTGTGTTCATGCCCTCTAGTGTTCTGCCTTTCCTGTGGTGTGTGGTACAGATGCTCAGCTACCAGCTAGCCCTGGGAGGTGGAGTGGAGCTCAGGGAGGATGTGGGATTCCAGCCCTTGGGATGTATGAAGGAGGTTTCTCTGACACATAGGTTCAATGGATGCCATGACTTTGTTTCACAGGGAATAGCTCTTCTAACCCAAAAGAAACCCACACTAGGATTTAAAGCACATCTAGATCGCCCAAACCCCTCTCCCCATCCTCCACATCTATACACTCCACACACATTATGGGCAGAGTCTGCTACTTTATAGTGCCCTGAAACTGTGAAGTCTTTGCTAATTGAGACAAGGACAGTTGGAAGCAAGAGAATTCAGTTAACGAAATTCCCATGTCAAGAACTCACTCCCTGGTGATTTCTGGTTGCACTGTTTCCCACTGCAGTACCAACCAAAAGAATAGACCTTGGAAATGACTGGTATTCAGCCCTTTATTGAACATGTATTATATGCCTGGCATGCATATGCAGACTTGTAACATCACATTTGACCCTCAGAGCAACTTTGGGAGGTAGCTGCTTTCTTAACCCCGGTTCATGGCTACGGAAACTGTGACACAGTTAATTTAAGTAACATTTATGTCTGCACAACTACTGACCAATGCATATTCTCCCGCTCTTTTTGCCTACAAGAAAGCACAGGTTCTGAAATTTTAGGAACTCATTTGCACCTGTTAGTTTGTTTCTAACTTATTTAATGACAAAAACAAAGATAGATTTTTTAAAAAACTTACTACATCAAATCATCCCAAAACTGATAAAAAGAAAAATGAGAAACATCTGAAATAATTTGAATTGAGGAATACCATTTCCTCATAAGCCTTCCTCACTCACATTTTAATGAGGCAAGAGGTTTAACTGTTTTATGAGGAAGAACACCAATTTTATAATATCAAAAAACTAATGCACCAAAGTACTTTATACTGTTAACTACTGTCTCTAGTTGGAAGTAAAGATTAACTATGTTATCACGGTGAAAAAAAAAAAAAAGATGAAAATAAAATCCTGAAGTCACTTTCATTTAAATGAAATTTTACCATAGCAGAAATACTTGCTTTGGAAAACAACATTTGGAAATCAACCCATGCTCCAGAGGACTGTGGTAACAAAGAACCCTAATTTTAGAAAGAACATCTGACAATAGACAGAACAAAGCACTGGCATTGTTATTTACTACTTACTGTTTTCTTCCAGTTACAAATAATAGGAAAGCAACCTTAAACAAAGTCTGGCACAATGTAGCATAAATAAGTGTATTATGTCTTTAAAAGATGGGAAATGGAGTCCTTTCTGCTGTCTCTACACCCGTTCTCTCAAAAAATAAGCATATCTGAAGAACCATTCTCTGATCTAATGCCATGCAGGCAAGACCTCATTTTCTTTTATTTCCATTGTACACTTAAGAGCCTTCTTTTTATTAACTGTCTATCTCAATTTAACTATCATTCTTGTTTTTATTTAAACTATTTCTTAAAAACGATCTCTTATTTTATATTTTCCAATATCTTTGGGTTTTTGGTTGATTATATATTTTTCATGGTTCTCCTTTAAATGCCATCCTCCCCCACTCACCTTGAGGCATATCCTGCCATCACTTTGGAATTATTAAATGCCTTTCCTTTTCATGTTTCTCCTTCATTGTCTCCCTGTGATTCCTGTTCATTTCATAATGTCTTACCTCATGATTTTCAAATAAGTTCTCCCTGCATTGCTTCTGACACATGGTAAATAGTATGCTTTTAAGAAAGGGCTGATGTTTACTTATTCTAATAGAAAAAGAAAATTAGCAGACTGACAAATGTATTAGCTGTGACATTAACTACATGCTTCTTAGCCTAAAAGATGAAATACTTAGAGCTTTCAACAAATTTTAATTCTAAGAAAATCATTACTTTAGTCAAACTGATTGATGAAGTAAAGTCATTCTCTTGTTGGCTTAAAAAAATACCTCAAATAATTTTACTTCAGATTTCACAATAAAGGACTGAGTAATTTCTAATGAATTTATCTTTACTTACTTCAAGTAATTACTTTAGAATATGGTAATGTGAGGCATTGCTATAATTTTTAAAGATCACACCAAATGCGAAGCTCCTTCTGCTTTGAAACCACTTAAATTAGGATCAATGAAGAAGCTCTTTCCCTACTCATATAATTGTGTGCGGTTTTTTTAAAGGCAGCATCATTGATCTGTGCCTCAGTTGGACTTCCAATAAGGCATGCGGAGCTGTGTTTGCGGGATGTGAGGTATAGGGCAGTGCATACTACGCAGTAACTGTCTCCACGGAGTTGGGGAGATTTTTGCGGTATTTTTATAGTGAGTGGTAATTAGAAAGTCAGCCGGTTGTCATAACGACTGAAATTCTGCCTACCTGAAAACACAGATTCTTTCCTTCATTTTTTTTTTTTTATTTCCACCTGCCAAGTTAAAATTTAGCTTACTAGACGAGAGTACTTTATGGTGTTTCTTACAATTTCATCATCCCCTTATGATAAGGTAGTTCCGTTTCTTAACGCTTCACAGTGAATAACTGTGCAGTCTTTATGCATTTCAGGGAGGCTACAATCACTGCACTTTGCAAATCACAGATGTGGACATAGAAGTGATTTGGCTTCATCCCCTTTCAGGTTAAATAGAAAATGTTTGATGGAGTGTTGCGCTTATGGCCTTATAGATCTGACATAAATTCTACAAAGGGCCAAGAGAGGGTTTTTGGTTTTTTGTTTTTTTCCTTCACTAGTAAAAATTCCTTTTAGCTGTGAAATGATCAGCTGCACTTTAAATGAACCTGGATTAGGAGACCATTTGTCTTCTGAGGCTGTAAATCTAAAGAGAAAGAAAGTGTGACCTCTTAAATAGCGACTTTTATACTAAATAGTGACTGTTTTACATCAGCCCCCTGGAGTTCTTGCATCTTTGTCAAAGGGGCCCATGTGCTTTATTGCCCTCCATTTACACATTGCATTTCCACA